TTTCCTTACTTTTGGTGAGGTGGTGCTAGTCTGAGAATGTATTAGTTTTCTATTGCAGCTGTAGCAAATTACCATAAAATTAGTGGTTTCAAACAATACTCTTGTACTGTTTCCTAGTCCTGTAGGTTATACATTTGACGTTGGTCTAACCAGCAAAAGTCAAGGTGCTTGCAGGGCTGCATTCCTTACTGGAGATTCTGACGAAGAGTCCACTTCCTTGTTCAGTGAGATTGTTGGCAGAATTCAGTTCCTGGCAGTTGTAGGACTGAGTTCCTGTTTCCTTGCTGCCTGTCAACCAGGTCTTTGCTCCTAGAGGCCTCTCTCAGGTCCTTGCTTTGGTCCCCTACATTTCAGAGCAAGCAATCCACAAAATCCTTTTTGTCATAAAGAACAACATATTCACAGATTGCAGGAACTAGGACCTGGATATCTTTGCTGTTAGGGATGGAACCGAGTGGGGGTGGGGGGTGTGGGTGTCAGCATTCTACCTACCACAGAGAGCTTCAACTGATAACTGACATGGTGACGTATTAAGACTCTACTTTGGGACGTCCCTGGTGGCACAGTGGTTAAGAATCCGCCTGCCAATGCAGGGGACACGGGTTCGAGCCCTGGTCCGGGAAGATCCCACATGCCACGGAGCAACTAAGCCCGTGTGCCACAACTACTGAGCCTGCACTCTAGAGCCCGTGAGCCACAACTACTGAGCCCACATGCCACAACTACTGAAGCCCGCACGCCTAGAGCCCATGCTCCGCAACAAGAGAAGCCACTGCCATGAGAAGCCCGTGCATTGCAAGGAAGAGTAGCCCCCGCTCACCACAACTAGAGAAAGCCCCGCGCACAGCAACGAAAACCCAACAGAGCCAAAAATAAATAAATTAAAATAAAAAAAAAAAGGATCTACTTTGATTCGTGTAATGAATTTTGGTTATTCTGCATAAAAATAGGAAACTAATCTTGGATACAATTTTGAATGTTTCACTAAAACATCCTTAGCCTTTTTTAAATTTACTCCTCAGTATTAATGTTTTTCTTGGCTATTCTAAATTAAGTTTGCTTATATTATAATGTGCTGTGATGGTATTTTGAGGGAAGATTTTATTGTCTTTTATCACTTATTTGACACATATTTTTATTGATTTTCAAGTCTGTTTCTTTAGGCAACCTTATGAATTTACTGTATTGTGTGTGTGTGTGTTTACATGTGTGTGTGAGCATGTGTAATTTTTAATCTTAGGAAAATTTGTAAGTTGGGCAGTTAGGTTTTGTGTTTTGCTGGGGACAAATGTAATGTATAGTGAATTAATTATGAATTGTACTTAAAGACTTTTAACTTTGATGATAGCCAAATTGGTTAGTCTTAATTCTTTGTCTTCTTCAATTCATTCTAAATGATAACTATTTAAAAAACAGTAATTTTTCACAAGTGATAATGAATTATGCATTTAGGGGGGATAATTTAAAAAATAATGGCATACTTTTTATAGTTGAAGCACTGGGGAATGACATCTGCTTTACCTGTCGCTTGTTGATTTGAGTATATGAAAGCATCTGATAAAGTATCTGTGGTGTGGCATTAATTAATTAACGTGGTGCAGAGTGAAGGATCTCTACTGATAATATTTCATATATTACAAACCAATATTTCTAATTTCATAACATAGACAAGAGCTGTTAACGAGAAGTTATTTTTTTAAATTAATTTATTTAATTTATTTGGCTGCATCAGGTCTTAGTTGTGGCACACGGGATCCTCATTGCGGCATGTGGGATCTTTCGTTGCAGCACGCAGGCTTCTCTCTAGTTGTGGTGCGCGGGCTTGAGAGCGCGTGGGCTCTGTAGTTGTGGCATGCGGGCTCAGTAGCTGCGGCATGTGGGCTTAGCTGTCCCATGGCATGTGGGATCTTCGTTCCCTGACCAGGGATCGAACCTGCATCCCCTGAATTGGAAGGTGGATTCTTAACCACTGGACCACCAGGGAAGTCCCCCAAAGGTTATTTTTTAATTTAAAAAATAATTTTGGAAAGATAACCCCAGGTTCACTGATATTATTGGTGGTCTTTGTTTAACAGCCAGCAGGCTTTGGTTAACAGGAACCTTTTATTAACCAAAGTCATTCAGGTGGCTTAATGTAGATGGGGACAGAGCTCTGTTTTTTCAGGTAATGCTTGTCTGCTTTATACCAGGCACCATGTATGTATCTGTGACTTCATCACTTGGAGGCTGACCTATTTGATGGGAGCCAGAAGTGAGGGTAGAGTTGGCACTGCAAGGGATCCAGGACTGCTTCCTTTGTTGTTGGCTACTTGACCTCTGGTGGCATCTCTGGAGCAGGACAGGAGATGGGGTTTCTGTGGATTTCCTTTGAATGTATTACTGACCTTTTGGTATGTGGTATTGGTTCATGAAACCTTCCCTTTGTTTAAAGTATAGCTAACATTGACTAGAACTTCCATGCCATTATTTGTGGTGATCCCAAATACTCGTCTTCCAAATTTCAGCAAATTCCTGAACCTTTGATATTCTCAACTAAGTAATAATAATAACAACAATAATTATTATGTGGATATTCTACTGCCTGTCGGTATGTTCCCTGTATTCTAGCACTTAGTCCAGACGGCTCTTTATTATAGTATCTACCCAAACTGCCTCACCTCTCACATAAGGCTTTTTTTGTACCTAGATTGTGGAGAAAGTCTTTAGAAAACAGGCATAGGTAGAAATGAGCCATGATAGCAACTTAATTTGACTATCCTTGTTTCTAAAAATTCCTGCTAATGCCCTTGGCCTTGCCGTTCCTCTTGTTTCTATCTTTCCCTCTCTTCTCTTTAGGATCATTCAGCTCTTTTTTGCCTTGACCTAGTAAATATAACAAGCAAATCCTGCATGATACTCCAGAAGAGAAGGGCCTTGCCTTAAGAGGGCCCACCTATCTAAGAAAGCAGTTATATAATTTCCCACCCCATTTAATTTATCAGAATTAAGGTTTTTCACTGAAAAAAATTGAGAGGAATGTTCCAGGTGGCCACGTGCCCATATGCCTACTTATAGGCGGAGTTCAGCTTTGGTGAG